CCGCGACCCTATCACCCCATCCTTTCCCAACTCCACTGGCTTCCCATCACACAGAGGATGCAGTTCAAGATCCTGGTGCTCACCTTCAAAGCCCTCCACGGTCTTGCTCTCCCCTACCTCTGCGACCTCCTACCATCCTGTTCGCGCCCTCTGCTCAGTGGGCTCCGGCCAGGTTCACGTCCCTCGCCTTGCTCGCACCACTCTTGGTGGGTGGGCCTTCCGCCACTCTGCTCCCACCCTCTGGAACTCCATCCCGCAATCCCTCCACCTCGTCCCCTCCCTTGCCACCTTCAGGACCCATCTCAAGACCCTCTTCAACCGTGCTTTTCGATCTCCCTGCTTCCCCCCCCGCCCTCCACCTTCCCCCACTCCAACCTCGACCTCGGGTCCGTGACTCTTTCTGTCCAGCACCTTTGGGACCTCCTCCTGATGTGAAAGCTGCTTTACAAATGTAATTTTGTTGTTGTTCTTGCTCAAAGTGCACCTTGAGACGTACCTCTTTGACAGCATTTTTAGTCATCTTTCGCCTCTTCACCTCCCTTCGGCTTCCCTCTGCTCAGTGGGCTCCGGCACAGGTGCCTAAGCTACTGTGTTAAGCGTTTTGAGACATTTTCCTGGCGTCAAAGCACAGTGCCATTCTGCTAGGCAGGACATTTGCCACTGTGGTAGGCTTTACTAAATGAGCCTCCAGAATAGTAATTGGAAATTATTCAAGGTTTTGTGGAGTGTAAAGGTGCCAATGTGGAATATTTTGTTCTGTTTTGGAGAGCTGCCTGAGACAGTAGTTTATTGTGTAGCAATTCACCCTATCATTTCAAGTGATTTACAAAATATACAGTGACTACACTTTACAATAAAATCCTGTGAAGCACTTTCAGTTGTCCTGCCAACATGAAATCAAATGTCAGGATGATTATTATTATTTCCATTCAATCAGTTTTGGTACACAAGTAGTTTGAGACAAGCAACAGCAAACAGTCATTGAGGATTTCAAAAGAATTGGTCAAATCTCACATATCCACTGAAATGTTCTGGAACCAACACTTGCAGATGAGGACTGTCCAGTGGCTATAACTCACTCACTTTTCAGAAAGTGTTTGATAAAGTTCCAGATGTGAGAATTCAGCTTGGTGGAATGAAACGTAGCTTAGATACAGAAAACAATAGGAAGCAGAAGCTGATGTCAACAGTTGAGGGTTGACCAATGAATTCTCAAGTGACCTCATCAAAGCTGTTGCATTTTCCACCAAATGTACCTCAACCCACCGTGTTCTCCATCAATGAATTCATATTACAGTGTTCAAATATGACTCCTGCTTTAGCTAATCACAGATTGAAGGATCGGAAGTGCGACAAAATGTTGTTGGTTGTCTTTTGTTGTGTACAATGAGATCCTAAAGTATTCTCTGATTCTCACTTATAAATGTCAAAAGCAGCTTTGGTGTCTGGAGCTGGTGAAGCTGGCAACTTGACACTCAGAGCTTAAAAATCAGTTTGTGAAGTTTACGATTTGATGAAGTCTTTCGGAGGATATCTTGCAGCAGAGGCTGGACATGAAGTTTACACCACGCATTTCGCTAAGTTCTTATTTCACAAATTGAATATCGTGTGCACTTCTCTTTTTGAATATAGTTTCATACAACCCAAAAAGCTGAGCCTTCCATTTTAGCTGTTCACAGGACACCCAGCTTGAGTTTGCTTTAATCAAACAATTTGTAAGGAAACTATGTTTTTTTTAAAAAAATGTTCTCTTATGAATCGAAAATCAAGAACCTTGTTTGTATGCCAGCCCTAGATACAAGATATGTGAATTATTGGTTGGGGGGGATGGGAAGGAATTGAAAGCACAATTATTATTGTTATATCAGCTTGTTTTACCTGGATGTTTTTTTAAAAAAAGCTTTCAAACTAAATGCAGCTTTAAGAATTTCTCTTTTAAAACAAATGCAGCCGGTCAGTCTCACGCACTGTATCGGGTGGCATTTCATGCCATTGATCTAGACGGATCAAAAATTTTAGAGGTGGTCACTATGGAGTCCTGTAGTTTAATGGTTAGAGCACTCGCCTCGCGAGCGAGAGGACCTGGGATTGATTCACAGGCAGGGCAAAACGTTGGCTAACTTTCCTTAGTCCACACGTCTCTGAACACCAGCAGTAAGTAGGAACCCAGTTGTTAGTTGATTGGCGGATCGCTTTCTGAGGGTAATAATCCATTCAAAAAGAAATCATAATTTGGTCACTCAAAAAAAACCTAAAAAACTCATTAAGAGCGAGAAAAAGGAGTATGAGGGTAAGCTAGCTAGGAACATTAAGTCAGATTGTAAAAGTTTTTACAAATACATTAAGAGGAATAGGCTAGTGAGGGCAAATGTAGGTCCACTTCAGTCAGAGACGGGAGAAGTTGTAATGCGGGATAAGGACATGGCAGAGTCCATAAATGGGTACTTTGCATCTGTCTTCACCCTAGAAGACACAACAAGCCTGCCAACAAGAGAGATGCACCAAAGGGATAAGGACAGGGAGCAACTTAGGGAAATTTTCTTTAGTAGAGAATTGGTGCGAGGGAAACTGTTAGGACCAAAAAGTAACAAATCCCCTGGTCCGGATGGCTTGCATCCCAGGGTTTTAAAAGAGGTAGATTATGAGATAGTGGAGGCCTTGTGTCTGATCTTCCAAAATTCCTCGGATTCTGGAACAGTCCCCATGAATTGGAAGATCGCAAATGTCACACCACTATTTAAAAAAGGTGGAAAGGAAAGGATGGGGAACTATAGGCCAGTTAGTCTCACATCAGTGATAGGAAAAATTTTAGAATCATTGATTAAGGATGTGGTAGTGCGGTATTTAGGGGAGCACAATATAATTAGGCCAAGTCATCATGGCTTTACAAAAGGGAAGTCATGTTTGACAAATCTCAAAGAATTTTTTGAGCATATTTCGAGTAAACTAGATAAGGGTGAATCAGTGGATGTGGTCTATTTGGACTTCCAGAAGGCATTCGATAAGATGCCGCATAAAAGGTTAGTCCAAAAGATAGGGGCCCATGGAATTGGGGGGAGCATATTCACGTGGATTGGGGAATGGTTAAAGGGTAGGAAACAAAGAGTAGGGATAAACGGATCCTTTTCAGATTGGCGGGATGTGACTAGTGGAGTGTCAACACAGAGGATGATATTAAAAAAATGCAGTGTGACATAGATAGGTTAGGTGATTGGGCAGGTAGGTGGCAGATGAAGTATAATGTAGGGAAGTGCGAAGTCATCCACCGAGGTAGCAAAAACAGTAGAGCGGGTTATTTTTTAGAAGGGGAGAGATTGGAATGTGTTAGCGTTCAGAGGGACTTGGGTGTCCTTGTACAGCAATCACAGAAAGTTAGTCTGCAGGTGCAGCAGCAATTAGGAAGGAGAACGGTATATTCATTATGAAAGGATTAGAGTATAAGAGTAGGGAAGTCTTGCTGCAACTGTATAGGGCCCTGGTGAGACCACACCTGGAATACTCTGTGCAGTTTTGGTCTCCTTATTTAAGGAAGGATGTACTTGCCTTGGAACGTAGATTTACTAGGTTAGTACCAGGGATGAAGGGGATGAGTTACAAGGATAGGCTGACCAATTTGGGCCTATATTCTCAAGAATAGAGAAGAGTTAGAGGGGATCTTATAGAAACCCATAAGATCATCAAAGGGTATGATAGAGTAGATAGTGGGAGATTGTTTCCCCCCCTAGTTGGAGAAACTAAGACCAGGGGTCACAACCTTAAAATCAGAGGCCAGCCCTTTCACACCGAGTTGAGGAAGAACTTCTTCACTCAAAGGGTGGTGAATGTATGGAACTCGCTACCCCAAAGGGCTGTTGACGCTCAGTCCTTGAACATATTCAAGACTGAGATAGATATATTTCTTATTGCAAAAGGGATTAAGGGATATGGGGATAAGGCAGGGTTAGGTTATTAGCTGGAGTTAAATTAGAAGATCAGCCATTATTGAATCGCGAGGCAGGCTCGAAGGGCCGAATGGCCTACTCCTGCTCCTACATGTTATGTTAAGTCAATCTACGACTGTTTGTGGGACACTGCTGTGCGCAATTGGTTGCCACATTTCACCCACAAAATATACAGTCAATTCACTTTACAGTATATTAAAGTGCTTTGAGACATCTTGAAGACGTGATAAGGCTTTATATAAAATGCAAGGATTATTATTATGCAACACTTCTTGACTGTTTGTGGGACAGTGCAAATGGGTTGCTACTTTCACCTACAAAGACACAGTCATGACACTTGCTAATCAAATGTAATGATTAATACTATTATTGCTTATTATAATCATACTCGCATTTGATACATTGTCTTTTTGTGTCAAAGCATCTCAACACATCTATATTTGTTGGTGAACACGGCAGCCAATTTGCACACAGCAGTGTCCCACAAACACCCATAATAATAATAATAATCCTTGCATTTGATATAGCGCTTTTCACGTCAGGAGGACGTCCCAAAGCGCTTCACAGAACACACTGTAAAGTGAATTGACTGTATATTTGTGGGTGAACGCAGCAGCCAATTGCGCACAGCAATGTCCCACAAACAGTCGTAGATTGAAAATGACCAATTTATTATTGTTTTTGGTTTTGGAGAGATTATTATTAGTCGTCTGGAGTAAGGAAACTTGCCCAAGGTTTCGCCCTCTGCCTGGAATTGAACTCAGGTCTCTCGCTTGCAAAGCGAGTGCTCTAACCACTGAGCTACAGGACTCCACCCATGAAGTGCATGACCAATTTTTTATCTTAAGAATTGTCAGATCCAACAATGTTATGGGATGTTTAACTCCCACCCCAATTAGTAGATGGTACCTTGGTTTATGTCTCATGCAAAAGATGACACATCCAATAATGCAGAGCCTCCCTTGGCAGCGCTACATTATCTGGACACAGTTCCTGTCTTTGTAGATTTCAAAATGGATTTCCATTCAGTAATGTTTATGTCTTCCTTCTGTCTTTCAGCTTGACCATGTAATCCGACAGCGTAACCTGTCTAGTTTGTCGCTGTTCCTGTCCTGTGCCCAGAATCAGTTATCTGGCCTGATGGAAAACCAGCTAGTCACAGAGGAACGAGAGGATAAATGACAGTTTTTAAATGAACATTGAAATGTGCAGCATCTCCAGAAATAGAGAATAATCTGACACTGTCCATTTTTATGTTTCTGTATATTTGAAAGCATTTTTTGCATATGCTGGAAAAAATTATGTTTGATTTATACAAATCAAGAAAGGCAGCAATACCATTAGCCTTCCAACCTCGGGAACTTTATATCTAGAAAGGCACTTGTACACTACGTTACAAAGTTTTTTTGAACACTAACTTTACAAACACGAGATCTTTAAGCACCACTTGTATAAAATCAAGATTACTTGAACCCACCAACTGTTCTGTTATTTACGCCGTCATTTAAGTCAAAGTGTAGGCAGACCTCAAACTTGTCTTGAGAAAGAAGAGTCTTGTAAGTCTGTTGTTGCAAGTATAGCTTACGATTGTTTCTGGAAAATATATCCCTTGTTACCAGAATATCTGATGGATTATGGCACAGTTTTTACAAGTCTCTTCTTTAGTGTGTTGTAATGCTGTAGTTGCCCAGTTAAAAGTGTTTTTCATACTTTGGTTGTTGATTTGTACCCAGGTGGAATCCATCATTGCCGTTAAATGTACTTGTGAGTGAATTTCCATGTTTTTAGATGAGGTTTCTAAGTTGACTGTGCCACAAGAAAGCAAAAGGAGGAACCATGATTGTTCCTACCTGGAGGAGGAAGGCATGCCAGTGATCAGTTACAAAGACAGGGAAAGTCATTACTTACTGCTTAAACTAGGTATCATAACTCTCTGAAGGTATTGCGAAACTTTGTCTCTTCGCAAATTTGCAGCATGACATAGTTTACATTGCAAAAATTCCTTGTGCCTGACATTGTTCTGATGTTCCAACAGCAAGTGTGATGCTGAATTGTTCTAGGCTCAACCCATCCCCCAAGAGGTTCCACATTTAATATGTGATCAATTCTGCTACAGGATCTATTTTCCAAACTTTGTTAGCCACATCTGAATTGACTTAAATATTGTTTTTTCCCCCAAGCATTGTTTTTTGTGAGAAATGGGTTTAAATTGCTTTTCGTTAACCAATGCTTGATTTTCATTGTCAAAATAAGACAAATTACTTTGATTTGAATGCTAAGATTAAAGAATTTTGCACACACCGGAGATTGTGTAGTTGTGTATGGAGAATGATCACACCAGTTCAGTCTTGCTGAGGATAAGTGTCCATTTGGATCCCAAATTTACATACATTTGACAAAAANGACAGAGTTGGTAAAGAAGGATGGGTGTATCCCTTTCAGTACTGTACGGATAAAATTGTCAGCCTGGATCCATCCCACCAAACTGTAGTGAATAAGCGTTAAGGTGGAAGAGTAATCATGGGGGGGTGGGGGGCGAACCCTATTTTGCTATTGTGCGAAAAAAAATGGCATTCAACTGAAACCACAAGGCGGGATTTTGCTAGACTCTATAAGCATTGTTGAAAAACCTCTTCTCGTCAGCCTGTTCTGCCTTGTGTGGTAACACAGAATCAAGACGAGGCCATGCAGCTCATCAAGCCTATTCTGTCATTTTATTCAATCGTGTCACAACATTTAATCCAATTTCCGTAACTTTTCTCTGTATTCCTTAACACATTTACTTCACAAGGAACTCCCCTTTTAACATTCCAATCAATTGTTTATGGAGACGTAGATTGCACATTTTCACAATGCTCTGGGCGAAAAAATGTTCGATGCACTCTAACCTTTGTAATCTTTGTGTACGTGTCTGCATGACCATCTGTGCATGCATTTGTGCAAATGTATTTTTTGTGCCCCAGATACAAAATCGCACCAATGCTTACTCAGGGAAACTATTTATTTGTTGCAAATTTTGCACTTTGTTTATTTTAACAGTTTATTCTATTGTTCATTTACAAATAACTTTCACTCCCCCATCCTATATCATGTCTGAACCTCTCTTCCAGGAGTTTATTTTCAGCACTTACGTACATAATATATAATGCTGCATTTTGCTCACAAAATATATAGTATATTCTGTGAAGCGTATTGGTTAGAGCCTTCCCCTCGCAAACGAGAGGACCTGGGTTTGATTCCCGGGCAGGGCGAAACATTTGGCAAGTTTCCTTACTACACACGCCTCTGTTTACCTAGCAGTAAGTAGGAACCCATTTGTTAGTTGATTGGCGGATCGTTTTTCCAGGGTTAATCCCTTCAAAAAATAAATTAAATAAACATGATTTGGTCACTCAATCCATGACTGTTTGTAGGACACTTCTGTGTAAGTTATAGAAGTATTTGTAACATAATCAAGGGTCAGTGTGTACACAGGACAATAATGATTGGACACCAGGAGGAAATTAAGGTCTTATGGCATGAAGCTCATTAACTTTTTTGTGTTCTGAATGAAATGCAAGAATTTAGTCATTCCCTGGTTCAACGATCAGTATCTCTGTGATTTAGACATTTATTCATCTGGCCAAGTTACTGGGAAATTGTGCAATATTACAGACTATTAATGTTGGTTTACCGGATGAGTGATTGCTGATGGATGGATGCTTAAAGGGCCAACGATTCCCCAGATATAAAATTAGTCATTAATTTAATGACTGTTTGTGGGACATTGCTCTGTGTAAACTGACTGCCATGTTTGCCTATAAATACACATCATTACACTTCACAATAAATCCTGTTACGTGGTTTGAGACTTCAACGCCATAACAAAGCGCTGTATCAAAGGATCATTGTGAGTGTCTTTTAATGCCTGGAAAAGTTTCAATTTGTTTTATTACAAACACATGATGCACTGACTTCAGATGTGTTTAACCCACATCATTGAGTCTTGTCGATTATCCCAGTGCAATGGAAATCACGGTTCACTCCTCGCTCTTTTCTTCTCCCAAGTGAAACAAAAGGGCATTGCCAGATGCTTTATCAAGACGATCTCTTTCAATGCAAAAATAGTATCACAAGAGAGCAGTTTTACATGCCATCCATTCCACCATAAGACCAACGGGTGGATGGATAAAGGGCATTATTTTCCAATAAGCAGTGCCACTTATTTGCTTAAACCCGTATCATCTGGGATCCACTTTTAGAAATGAAATAGCAAAGTGCTGGCAGAGCGACAGTTGTAAAGGAGTGTAGTTTTTTCACGGAATAATATCATAAAGAGTAACTGAAAAAAAAGAGTTGGGAGATGATTACTGAAATGGTTCTTTAAAACTCAATGCAATGAGGGTGGGGGAGAAATCAGGAACCATAAAACCATAGAAATTTACAATACAACAAAAGGCCATTCGGCTCAACATATCTGTGCTGGCTCTTTTAAAAGCAATCCCTCCAGTCCCAATTACCAGCCTTTTCCAAATATCCCTGTAATTTATTCATTTTAAGGTATTTATCTCTTTCCCTTTTGAAAGTTAATATGGATTTTGTCTCAACCACCGCTAACAGCAAGGCATTCCGTATCCTAACTATTCTGTACATGAAAGAATTAAAAGAATTTCTTCTAACCTTCCCATTTGCTTGTTTGTTAACTATCTTAATTGATGTACTCTGGTCACTATCTTAATTGATGTACTCTGGTTACTCCCAGCAGAAATAATTTTGCCCTATTGACTGTCCACCTCCAAATTTTGAGTTCACCCCTCAACTTTCTTTGTCGCAAAAGAAAAAGCTTCAATATCTGCTCACAGGCTCAGTATCCTAGTAAATCTGCTCTGTACCCTCTCTTGCCTTGATATCTTTCCTGAAGCGGAGTAGCCCAAACTGTTGCAACATTCTAACTGTGGTCTAACTCATGATATATATAACTTAAGCATCACCTATTTGGTCTATATTTAAATGACAATTATTTGTAACTTTTGATATAATATCAACCAAAAATGCAGTCAGTAGATATCACTGGGTCTCGTGTGGGTGAGTGTGGGGGTTGGGATCACCAGTGATAGCTGTTGACTGCTTTCACTGCTCATTTGTTTGATGTGACAGTTACCACTTGCAATAATATGATGGGCTCATTTTTCACCCTCCAACATGTGCACTTGTAAACTGAGGAAAGATTCTGATTTCAATTTCAGGGATGATAGTACAAATTATTCAGGATGTGTTTTACCTTGTGTGTTTGTCACCATCAAAATATGCACCTGTTTTAGTCCTTCTGTCAACTAGTCATTCCGATTCTCCACATTCCGGTGGAGCTTACTCACGGCTGGAATTGGAGATTTACAAAGCACGATTTCTGCTATTCGTCAAATGATCTGGTCAATTGCAACTTTGTAATGCGTGCTGCTCCCTTCCTGTTCCAGTCCAGAAACTGGAAAGCATGGACAACTCCACAGGGCTGGAACAAGCCAAGAAACAGCTCATCCCAATTTTGAATGGGTTTTGTACAAAGGATGGGGGGGAGATAATATGCAGACGTTTGGTGTTTGTTTAAGAAACGGTGCAAAGCAGAAGGCTAGCAAGTGTACCCCGCAGCAAGCAGACTCCGATTGGGAAGTTCAGCTTTGCAGCATATTGTCTAGAACAAACATCACCCACTGTGTTCAGCTATTTTTAGAATCCAACTGAGAACTATTCATTCTTCAAATTGTTTAAATTTCCTGTTCCAGTGCCCACCAGATGCTGAGCAGGAGGTGGAAGAGTAAAATGCCGTAACCTAGACAAAGTATGTAAGTGTGGAGCTGGTGAAAGGGTTCTCCTCTTGTGTCAACAATTGTATTCAAAGCAGTCTGAATTGTTTGGTCGGTCGTGGCACACTTCACTTGGACTGAGGAATCCCAGTGATTCCTGCGCCATTTTGGGAAATGCCACTGCAGGCTTCCTCTCGGTTTCTGCAGTTAAATCCTCCACTTCACTCCCTCACTCCACATTGTTGCCAAGACCTCTGAAGTTTAGAACCCAAAACTGTTTTTCAATCGTCTGGTTCTGAGCCATATTGTATCCTCTGATTATTATACTGACCCCAATTCAGGGGTACCTCCTGATAAAAATTTTACTTGTGCATCTGTGCCAGAAGATGCCAAATAGACGAGAGCTTCTTTGAAGCGCTGAAGACATCAACTCGTACTGGCATGTGGCAGTACTGGCGTTGGCAACCATTATACTCCAAACTCATGTGGCTGTTGTGTGTGAGCCATGGCGATGAGTGTTTGTGACGTTTGAGGAGAATTGTAAGAATTGAGCCCAATTACATATCATGAACTCTCCCTGTTAAAATACATCAGCTCTAATTGTTGAAAGATATTCAAAAGAAGTCGACAGAAAGTTATTTAAAAAATGTTCTTTGTAGCAGAACTTAAAAAAATTAAAGATTTTTGAAAAAATATCCAATTGAGTTCAAAAACATGGAATGTATACAGGAACAGAAACCCAACATTAGATAAGAATGTGCAGGAGGAACAAGGTGTTATTGGAAGTTTGAGTGACCCAAAAAGAAGTTAACACAGACAGAACTGTTCCAACAGGAAACACACTGTTCTTTACTATTTGAACTGTATCTTGTTGTGTCCTACTTTCTTCGTTTAATCCGAAATATTGTTTTTCTCTTCTGTTTCTGTTCATAGGAACTGTATCCTTGCAATTTATTATTTGAAATACCTCAAAGAGAACCATCTCTCAGGCAGATCAACAGCTTGCTGATACGAATCCCAGTCCATGCTGTGTTTGCTGGCCTCAGCCAGTGCTGTGTGAGGAGGTAAAATTGACACCAGCATTAGCAGGGTTAGGGAGGTTAGTACACTACTGGTTGTGTGCAGGTGTGGCAGTTGGGTGTGGAGAGGGTTAGGCTCGACTTTGTCGCCCTCGAACAATCAGCCAAGGCCCATGGACCCACACCCCAGCAGGATGTCTGTGGGACACTGCTGTGCGCAACTGGCTTCTGCGTTCGCCCACAAATATACAGTCAATTCACTTTATAGTGTGTTCTGTGAAGCGCTTTGGGATGTCCTCCCGACTTGAAAAGTGCTATATCAAATGCAAGGATTATTATTATTATTTAGAGTATATTCTGTGAAGTACTTTGAGATGTTTGAACAACAAAATTGCATTTGTAAAGTGCCTTTCAGGTAGGAGGATGTCTCATGGCGCTGAAGATTGCATTTGCAGAGCACCTTTCACGTAGGGAGGACGTTCCAAGAAGCTGGATCAAG